CCATTCGTCCGTCCGTCCGTCTGTCCATGTTAATTTGTAATCACGCTACAGGTCGCAATTATGGCCCGATCCTTACGAAATTTTGCACGAAGGTGGGGATAAGGTCGGAATATAAGCCTATTTATTTTGGAGCGGATCGCCAAATGTTTAGGGGTTGAAATGGACCAAATACTGAAAAAATGTCGGATTTTGCAGTAGCTATACAGGTCGCAATTACAGACCAATCGACGGAATTTCGCATGTAGCTAGAGTTTAGGGCGGGGAAGAAGCCTACCAATTTGGGTGGTCATCGGATAATATTTAGCGGGTAAACTAGACCATATATTTTGTGTTGAAAAAATTCAAAATTTTTCATTGAACCGCGAATATTTAAAATCCCGGCGAAATCACAAAGCCATGACAAGGTTACTTCTGATCTTTACATTGATGTTAACATCCATCAAATCGGAAATAGCAAAATATGTGCGATATATATGTCAATCAAAGAAGATTTGCTTGAAAGATCTCTTATATATCGAGAACGGCTGAACTGATTTCAAAAGTTCTCATTAATTCAAAATGGTCTCTTGGCAGGAATAAAAAAAAAATATCTAAAAAAATTGCATAAAAATATCTCTCTAAAGATGAAAATATTGATTTTGTAATATTTTCTCATATTTTTTTCAATTTTGTCATATTTTTGGCATATTTTCATTTTGAATTAAACATTTGGTAACATTTCTACAGCTAACAAAACTAAGTAGTTAGGATATCATATACAGATCGCATTTATGGCCCGATCCTTACGAAATTTTGCATGGGGATAAGTTGAGGGTCAGAATAGATGCCTACTCTGTTTGGAGATGATCGCTATATATTTAGGGGTTCAAATGGACCAAAAAACTGCAAAATTGTCAGCAGGTCGTAATTATCGCCCGATCCTCACGCACATTTGAATGAGGGTTACCGCACATTGCAAAAGCCAAGCAGTTTCGGATGGCCATCCAAAAATATTCAATGTGTGAAGGAGTTTGCCAACTTTTGTAGACTAAATACGAAAATGTCCATTCCAGTGACTTTTTGGAGAATTCACAAATACAGGAAAGACGCACTTCTGACTATTTCGTTAACGCTGATTTCGTTGAAGAATATAGTCAAATGTCTGTATCTCATATAGATGCGTTTCAGCCAAAAACCAATAATAAATGTTAATCTTTGCCGCTTCTGAGAGATTATAGGTCTTTGGGAAATATTGGTTCCAGATCTAGGAAAACCATTTACGTGCAACATCTACCAATAAATTGGAAATGAGCAAATTCGTTTAAGTTGCTATTATTCGAAAATTAGAGAACGAAACCTGATGGTTTTCTTTTATTATTTGTCACAATATCTTGTGGAATTCTTTCGAGTATCTCGCCTATATAAACTGTACGGTTTATTATAGTGTTGTAGGGTATTCAACGGTCGGCCCCGCTCGACTGTAGCCTTTGCTTACATGTTTTTACTTGTTTTTTGCTGCAAAAAAAAACTTCATATCATATCAATTCCATCTGTGTTGCTGGTAGTGCCATCTGCTAGTCTTATTTTATTATTTTAATTTGCGATTAATTCGACAAATAATGATGCGTCGCTCCACATATTATATTAAATATAACTTTCCATACTACCCACCTTAAAATGGTTGCTTTGCATTGTCATTCGTCATTGGATTCAAGACACGTTCGAAAAAAGATGTCGATTTTTTTACGTAAAGTGTGATCCGGTCACTTGAATATGATGTGGTTTAAAAATGCACTTGTCACAATTGAAGTGGGTTTCTTTATTTTCACTTTTTTTTCTCTCTTCTCGAAGATATTTCAACCAACCAACCAACAAGCGTATTAAACTCTCGTGGGTCCCCCACAACAATTTGAAAATGTAGCCTATAAATCTTGTGGACAGCTCTGCAGAGGAGAAAAGGGACTATTTGATTTCTGTTTTTAGGCGGACATAACAATTTGAAATAAATCTCATGCCATGACTTTGCATTTGCATTCAGCAGTCTTGTGGGAGTTCCACAATTCATCACAAAACACAAGCAAAAAATTATCAATTGAAGTAAATTTTTGATAAAAAAAAATAATTCAATATTTTTTTCAACACACAAAACAACGGAGAGGTGGTGAGGAACAATGTGTTTATTTAGTTTATTTATTTTGACATTAAATATTGTAGTCTATTTTAAATGCTAATTACTTTGAATTGTATTACTACGTCTAGACTGTGCCTGGGGCAAATGCATACATACACATCGTCGACCCAATGTCATTGTCAGACATAATGACGTCTTAAGGATTTTTTTGTTTTTTTGTCATAGCATTGAGATATGACCCGTCTAAATGATGAGCAATATTTAGACCACCTACTTCACAGATGATTTCAGATGAATTATATTTTAAACTTTAGTCCGAAATTTCTTGTGGCTCATCCTGGTTAACGCTAAATGGTAAACATGTAAACGCTTGCAATAACTGTAAAATCGTTGACATTTTCTTAGATTTATAAAAAATCGTTCATCCAAGTGAATAATAATAATAATAATAATATTTAGCGAAATTAACTTTTTCCAAAAATTACAGAGATAATGTAACAGGTTATGAAAGTAGAGCTAAAACTAGTAAAACAGTCGAAAACTACCGCTCAAATGAAAACCTTTATATGGGGACTATGCGAAGATGTGGTCCTGCGTAAGTAATTTTTGTCATAGAAAATTGAAACATTTCCGGTGAATAATGTCGCTAATATCATCAAAATACCGAATATCGGGAGGTATCGATATATGGAAGCTACACGAAGACGTGAATTTACACAATTGTCAACACCGAATAAAGGGAGGTACAATTATAAGTGGGCTAAACAAAGACGAAAACCTGCATAGATAATTGTCCTTCCACAGTACCATTGCAAACTTTAAAAACGAAATTTGAAAAATTCAGGTTAATAATTAGCTACATTATTAACCACCAATTTTGCATTTCATCAAAATACCGAATAGCGGGAGGTATTGATATATATGGGCTACACGAAGACGTGAATCTACACAATTTTTCGCCATAGGTTGAAGTACGCATTAAGGACTTTAGATACCAAATTTGAAACAATTCGGGTGAAAAAAAACGAATATCGGGGGGTATCGTTATATAAGGAACTTCTTGTGTGGATTTTAAAACAATTCCATTGACAAATTTGACTAAAATTATGAAAATACCGAATATCGGGAGGAGCCGCCTTTCCAGGCGGTAATGCACTAGCAAAGAACTCCTTTTGTGAATTTTAAGACAATTCCATTGAAAAATTTGGCTATCATTATCAAAATACCGAATATCAGGGAGTACCGCTATACGATATCGTGGACCTATATAGACAATTCTCTTCTAGGGGATAAAGTACTCACAAGGAACTGCTTGTGTGGATTTTCGAACAACTACATTGAAAAATTTGGCGGAAATCATCAGAATACCGAATATCGGAGGAACCATTATATGTAGGATATACGATATCGTGGACCTATATCTCCCATATAAAGGTACATCCCTATGATCGGTATTTTGATGATTTCAGCTACATTTTTTAATGGAATTGTCTTAAAATCCATACTAGAAGTTCTTTCTAAGCACTTCACCCCCTGGAAGAAAAATGCCTATATAGGTCCACGATATCGTGTAGCCCACATACAACGCCACCCCCCGATATTCGATATTTTGACCAATTAATGGGACATTATTCAACGGAGTGGTCTCAAATTTCGTATGTAGAACTCGTATTGGGTACTACAGCCTATGACAAAAAATTGTCTATGCAGGTCCAGGTCTTCGTATAACCCCCATATATCAGTATCTCCTTATATTCGGCATTTTAAAGATTTTAGCGACTTTATTCGCCGGATTATTTCAAGATTCGTATTTGAATATTGTAATAGTCTATGACAAAAGTTGCCTATGCAGGTCCACGTCTTCGTATAGACCCTAATGTAACGGCTATATTCGATATTTTTAAGATTTTAACAGAATTGTTAACAGATTTTATTTTTTTGACAATTTCCAAATTCGTTCCAAATGGTGGAGGGTATTCAAAGTTCGGCCCGGCCGAAGTTACTGCTTTTTTACTTGTTAGATTATACTTTGGCCCTTTTTAACCATATTTTGATGAAAGAAGCAAAGGGTTAAAAATGTCGACAAAACAAATCCTCGTATTGTTATCTGTAATATCGATTTGTCGAAGACACCATATACCTAAAATGAACAGATTCCAAGCAGTCTTAATCCGAAAATTTCAGACATAGAAACTAGTTTCAATTGGTAGTTTCAATTGGTTTTGAAACATCAGAAGGGATGAGCCACTTTGCAAAACGGCGAGTTCTTAGAATGCAGGCTAATTGGCTGTCTGGTGCTTAAGATATTTCGTTGTTAATATGCTTTGAAGTCGGTTTTTTTTTTTGTACCGCGATGTCTAGGTTTAGATTTTCCTCGACCAGAAAAATCTAAAACAAAACCTATCGGTATTCTCGATTTCTGGCAGGATTGCTAAACTCTCTTCAAAGGTTGATGGAAACGACGTAGTAGTGATGATTCTGATTTTTCAAACAAGTTTAACTTTTGATCACGCCGGTGTCGTGAAATGGAACATGGGAAACCCCTTATTTGAAAGCTCATATTCTTTAGCTATTGCGGTCTTCTTGGATTCCACACACTCGTTAATAGATGAAAAAACTCCTGGTTTTGTTGTTTACAAGGATAACCACTAGATAATCCTTAACTACTCCATTAAATGGCAGTTTCAGTTTTTTATGTACTTTATACATTAGCCCAAATAAGCAAAATTGCATATCAAATCCTTTCGGTTACAAACGAAATTGAATGTTTAATCTCCAGACAAAGAGATGACTTTCTACATTTTTAAAATGGAAATTGCTGTTTTTTTTTTTTTTGTATTATCTTACCATTTCCTGTAAAGCGTTTGTTTTATGTCACTAAAAAAATAGATTTTCAAATTTGTTAAATTTGTTTTATTATTAGTAGTAGAAGTGATAAAATTTGGATTCTTATGATTTTATCATACATTGCTGTTACTGCTGCGACTAAAATTGAAATGATTTTCTTATCGTTTTATGTTTGTTTTTGTTGGTTTGTTCTTTCAATTTGGATTAAGCTTGTAATTTATAAATTAATGTTTTTCTTTTTTCTATACAATACATCGTTTTAGTTTTGATATACTTAAATAATATTATAATATCTGAATACATATACAATTGCTAAATAGAATAATAATAATAATAATAATAATAATAATGTGATATAAATTAACACAAGAAAAAATATAGGCCCAAAAAGGAAATACTAATAACACATAGAACAAAAGGTAGCTCATAAAACTAAATAAGACACACCCAAATTTTGTTGGCAATAAAAGCATATTCTGATAGCATTGACATTTTCTTTGACATTTATAACCACACCTCAACAAAAAAGTTTTAAGAAAAATAATAGCAACAAAAAGGAATTAAAAGACTCTTATAAAAAATATGGAATTTCAATATTTTTTCGTATTGTTTTGGAATAATAATGTATGAACCTTATTTGGAAATATTTCGTTCTGTCTAAAAAATAATACGAAAATGTACTTGTAATCACACACAAAAAATTATATGAAAGCTGATATAAGTCTATAGGAAAAAGGAGAAGAAAAATCAGTATTTTATCACCTTTTCTGCCAATATAGTTATTTCTGCGTTCATTAAATTTTCTAGCGGGACTTTACAATTTTGTTTATTTTTGACAAGTTTTTTTTTCCCAAGGACGTATGCTTGTTTTTTAATTGGAAAGCTTGTTCAGCCTTTATTCGTAACAAAAAGAAAACATGGCATCAATACAAGATAAAGAACGACCTTTATCTCAGTCTGTTTGTGGCTCATTAAATGTCTTATTTTGAAAAGTATTGACCATTGTTTCTACAGTTAGTTTTCATGGTAGTTTTATTGAGATTTCCAGACAAGGCCCACATTTGCTTTTAAGGTTAACACACGATGACGAATGCCAGAAACACTTGGTTCTTTTTAGGGGGAAGGGGGTTAGGCTAATATAATTCTTCTGTTTTTGCTCTGCTTATATCTTTAGATTCATTCTATACACAATGGAAACTACACATGAAATTCTAAATAGATAAAACATATCTACTAGAATTTCAATTACTTGAATTTCATAATTAGTATTAGAACTATGATTAAGACAATCACTGCTAATATACCCAAAAGTATCAATTTCTTTTTGCGTAATTTATTCTAAAAAAAAAAGAGAAGATAAATGTTTTGCGTTAATTCTCTCCAAAAACACTAAACGAACAATTCTACCTTATAGGAACTGGCCATGCGCAGATTTTCAGATCCCTGAGATACATAGACGCTGGTGTGTTCAACGGACGATTCTATCGAATCGATGATCAGTCCTTGTTCATAAACCATTGAACCTAATTTCTTGTAGATTTCATTAACACCAACAATATTTTCCTGCAAATGACAAAAATGAATCAATTATTTTTTTTAAATAAAAAACTAAATAGTTTTAATACTACATACCTCCAATTCCCGAATGGCTCTTTCTTGTTCCTCCAAAGCTTGTAAATCAATATCTTCTTGCATTTGCGTTTGTTGCTGTGATTTACGTCCAAAGAGATTGTCATCAAAAAATGAATTATTACTGCCATTCGAAGCATTGTTTGTGTTCCCAGGGGGTTTAGAGATGTTGTATTGATTTGCACGTGCTTGGCGCACTTGATTCTTTCCAATATCGAGCGTCTTACGTTGCAGAGTCTGAAAGCATTAAAATAAAGCGTTGATTTATATGTTTGGTTACTGTTAAAATGTATGAAATTTAGGAAACGTATAAAGTACATTTATATACAAATATATTTCATATAATTTCATTAAAAGAAAGGAGTTTTGTATGATAATTTAAGAAACAATTCAATTCAAAATTATGGAGTCTTTGTTTTTAACACGAACATTTGCAATTTGGAAGTGATGAAAGAAATGCTTAAAACTATAATGTTTTGTTTTAATGACTAAAGCGTATTTTCAGTATTTACTAAAACTAAGAAGCAAATTACAATTCCAAAGCCTAGAAATAAATTTATTTAATGTTTTTCACGATAGTCAACCTCAAAACCCCATTGTTCGGGTGGAAGGAAAACAAAAAAAAATGATTCTCACAGAACAATCATATATATGTATAATGATATTATATAATGTTATTCACTATTCTCTTATCTCAATACATTGCCTTTACGGTTGGACTATACACATTATTTTTTAGACAATAACTGTAAAAACATGTCATCTATCAGTTTAATAAAACCGGTTATAACGTTATCATATAAGAGCTTTCTTGTGCATTAATTATACGTTAGGGTACTGGCGTTGTATGACTAATGCGTCAAATACAAAATGATAACACCAACAAAAGCAATAGAAGGCACATACTTTGCCATAAATTATTCACCAAAAATATCGGCGTTTGTTTATTAACTATTGATATATGAACAACAATGGATCATACCTGAAATTTAGTTAAAGCTGCTGTAAATTCATCCACCAGACGATCTCTTTGAATTTTCAAATGACGTTCTTTACATTTTTCGACTTCGTTCAGTTGAATATTGGTATCGGTTACCAATTGATTAGTATACATCATAAGTTGGTGCCTGTAATAAAATAAGAAAATGCAATTTAATTCGAAATGAATTTCAGAACAATAACAAAAAAATACACTTAAATGCGTATCACCCTCGAAAAAAAATATTTAGCACATTTATACTGAAAGCAAGTTAAAATCGCGTTCGCCTATAAAAAATCATTTTATTGTCCATTAAGGAATGAATGTTTCATTCCGTCGAATAAGAACGCCAGAACTAGTGTTCCAAAATTAGTAAGTTTCTGGGTTTTAAGGGACTCTACAGGTATTTGAGGATTCGTACCTATTATGTTCACTTTCCACCAGATATTAGGTTAAATATAATAGCGTGGGAGACCTGATTATTGCAAGGTGTCACTGAAGAAATCTTTGGAATTAACCAAAGCCATTTCCAATTATTTCAAAGGGTTTTTGTGATGTTTTACATATGGACTGAGTTAAAACCTTAATGCACATTACAATTTAAACTGAAACTGGTTAAAAATTACCAGCATTAGGGCGGGATTTGAAACCTTACAACATTATTAAAGCTCCAAATTAAGACATATTTTTGTTTTAAGTGGTTTTCAAAACAAATAAAAAATGGCACAACAATATAAGTTCAGCCTCCTTTCCCAAAACACTCCAAAATAAATCTTTATACAAAAGACAGAAACATTTGATTTTTCTCCTGGAATAGATGACGAAAATATAAATATAATCTTATAGTGGAAGCTGTTTTAAAATATATGGAATATGGTGTTATGCGTATTTCTAATCTCCAACAATATCATTTACGTAGAAGGCTTTTAACAATTTCCTTAACACACAAAATCAACAAGTTTTTAGCATTACTTACAATTGTTTCTTTAAGTCGGGTGAATCCTGAGGTGTGTTACATTGGTTGACCATACGTTGCATAGTAACAACTAAAAGCAAGTTAAATAGTAAAAAAAAAGTAATTACAAAATTAATATTCACAAGTAATTCCATTAGCTAACTTACCATTTTGTTGGATTTTTTGTATGCTGGTGGCAATGGTCTGGGCCAATCTTTGAAAATCAATTTCACTCAAGGTCTGTGAGTTACTATTATTACCGCCACCAATACCACTCCCACCACCGCCCCCACTACCTATGCCATTTTCCATATGCTGCAAATCCATGCTTTCGTAGTTCAGCTTGAAGGCGATTCTTTTGAAATTCCTTTAGACAACAATCAATTGGAGGGCGGTTTACTGAAGCATAAAACATTAAATAAATTAATAACAAATTTGCTGTTAAATATACAACAAAAAGACCTTGTAATTCGATTATAAGGCCTTTGTACCTATTAGGGTATGGGTGCTTGTTGTGTTTTATTTTTTGGTCATTAGTTTCAACCTATATTTTGTTGGTATGTTATATGTAATATATTGTTGTTTTTTTTTTTTTTTCTAAGCACACTCATAGCACATTACATGGAAATTTTGTACGATTAACAGCAGTTATTTTGTACCCAATAAATAACAATTTTTAATTTCTCTGCTTGCTTATTAGTTTATGTCGAAACGATTTCTTGTTTTTGTTACCTTTTAAATACCCTCACAAGTTTTCTTTTTTTTTTTGTTATAGCTGATTTCCCTTCCTTTTTGCTGTAAAAGTGACGTAGTTCGACTTTGTAGTCGTTTATTGACATGCACACGAAAAAATTTTCCAAAATGCGTTTTAATTATTCCCTTTGTAAGTTTTTTGTCGTTGGCTCTCTTTTTATCTTTGTTTTCCGCTACATTAATTTGATTGCAACTTTTATTAACTTATTCATTAAAACACAATCATCTACCTTTAATTATTGTTTGCTTTGTTTTCTTTCGTTTTTTGCAAAGTGTCTCCTACTGACATTTTACATTCTCAGTGTTTTGGCATTGCCACTTTTTTGAAGGTGGCAGCACTGTAACGATGCTTTTGATTTCAAAGGCCACAGTATGTTTACATCCAGCGGGTTTTAATTAAACTTGTCGATAACACATGAGAATATAATGGCTATAAAAGAGGGGAATATAAAAATATACAAGAAACCGATAACCATTTTCAATTAGAAACCATGGTAGAAGAATATAGGTAGACGCGTAGACACAGCTGCTGTGACAATGAACTGTCAAACCAATTTTTTAATTGAAAATGTTGAATGAAAATTTATTTGGCATAAGTTGAGTTTAGGGGCTATGCTTGGATTGACCTGAAATTTTTACCGCAGGTAGGTATTTGTAACCTGATTACGGCAATATAATTTTTTTGTGGGGGAAATACCCGGTTACCCGGTTATTCGACCCAAAAGTTCGGATACAACATCCGGTTTATATCCGGTTCTACGTAACCGATATCAATAATATGGGTATCATTTGAAAGCTTATGAAAATATCTATCCAACAAGTGGTCATATGACGGGGTAATTGGAACCTGTTTCGGAGAAATTTAGGAAAATGTGCATTTTTGTATGAGTAATTTTTGAAAAACCCATAAAAACTCGAAAATGGACCCATTATAGGGTCTTAAAATCTATACACAATATTATAGCTAACACTATTGCCTTTCCAAAATGGTGTCATATGTGTTGATATCTTTTGTAGTTCCGAAGATATTGACTTTTAAAGTCGTTACTTATGAAAGCAGTTTGAGTGAACCCAAGTTTTGTGTCGGGTTTAACGTTCTTGTTAATCTGCTTTGTTTTTAATTTGGTGTTGTTAGAATATTATGGATCGCGTAGTCGGTGTTGGACATATCCCAGAGGAGAAAATCTTAAGCCCCGGCCGAAGGCCGGCTACTTACAAAAATTACAATTTTTAGAAAAACTATGGATCGCGTAGCCGGTGTTGGACATACCCCAGAGGAGAAAATCTTAAGCCCCGGCCGAAGGCCGGCTACTTACAAAAATTACAATTTTTAGAAAAACTATGGATCGCGTAGCTGGTGTTGGACATACCCTAGAGGAGAAAATCTTAAGCCCCGGCCGAAGGCCGGCTACTTACAAAAATTACAATTTTTAGAAAAACTATGGATCGCGTAGCCGGTGTTGGACATACCCTAGAGGAGAAAATCTTAAGCCCCGGCCGAAGGCCGGCTACTTACAAAATGTACAATTTTTAGAAAAACTATGGATCGCGTAGCCGGTGTTGGACATACCCCAGAGGAGAAAATCTTAAGCCCCGGCCGAAGGCCGGTTGCTTAAAAAAGCTATAAAGGTCAAAGTCAAATGCATCTAGACTGGAGAAAAATATAATTTAATGAATTCTATCTCTTATATCCACGGAACCACAAAAGATATCAACACATATGACACCATTTTGGAAAGGCAATAGTGTTAGCTATAATATAGTGTATAGATTTTAAGACCCTATAATGGGTCCGTTTTCGAGTTTTTATAGGTTTTTCAAAAAATACTCATACAAAAATGCAAATTTTCCTAAATTTCTCCGAAACCGGTTCCAGCAACCCCGTCACTGACCACTTGTTGGATAGGTATTTTCATAAGCTTTCAAATGATACCCATTTTATTGATATCGGTTACGTAGAACCGGATACAAACCGGATGTTATATTCGAACTTTTGGGTCGAATAACCGGGTAACCGGGTATTTCCCCCACAAAAAAATTACATTGCCGTAATCAGGTTACAAATACCTACCTGCGGTAAAAATTTCAAAATGATCCGAGCATAGCCCCTAAACTCAACTTGCTCCATTTATTTAAATTTGTATAAATTCTTGAAAAATGCGTATCATAACAACCTCCGATTGGCATCGTATAAGATCTATAACCTTATCTAATCTATTTATTTTTGAAAAAAAAATTTTTTTTATATTTTTATATTTGTTATATTTTTTTTACATATCAATGCTCCCAAGCGTTGATGCATCTACCTGTATTTTTCTACCATGTTAGAAACATTCTATTTTAGAATCTGTAATAATCGACCAGTTATGCAATTTCGTTCGATATCATTAAGGAAAAATCAAATACTTTTGTTGTTTTTATTTATTTGTATTTAAATTATTTATTTTCAACTGACAATTCCAGTCAAACGGCAGTGACACAATATCGACGTAGGTACTCTGTAGCTAAGATATATTTAAAAATATATATATCCAATATTTAAAAGTATTGCGTTACAGTAAGGTTGGCTTTTTAATATTGCATGATTAGACCAAATATGTTTGTTATTGACTTAAGCAGCTATCAGACGACCTATACATATGTAATGTCAAATTTCTCTTCTGTAGAACACATTGACGACATTTCAGTTGTGAAATATATGAGTTATATATATATCACAAATATTTAAAAGTTTTTGGAGAAGTACATTGATTTCAGAATGTTTTCTCAAACATTGTGATAAGATTATGTAAGGTGTTCGTCAACAGATTTAACTACATAATTCTACATAATTTTTCATTCAAAGTTCAAGTTCAAGTTCAAAAAAGGTTTTGATAGCTCATTGTACCATGTATCATGGTACATTTGTACTTTTTCCTGTTTTCATCGCAAAAATATAATTTTATTTCTCTGTTGTGTGAAAATATATAAAATAAAATTTGCGGTAAAAATACATCAATAAAGTATTATATTTTTATAAAATGCAATATAATAAAAAAGTAAAAAGCTGTTAAGTTCGGAGGGGCCGCACATTTCATAGCCTCCAACGTTAGGGGGATAATCCAATTTATATATATTTGTAATTCTCCGAAAATACCTATTTAAATGGGGCTATATGCAATCGAAGTTTTATTTAAACTTTTTTTTTGTAAGAGTCGCGCATGTTAGAAGAAAATAGATAGATGCATCAACGCTTGGAAACATTGATATATTTTAAAATGTTTTTTCAAAAACATTTTTATGTTTTCTTATACGACGCAAATCGCAGTTTTTAATGTTATGTATTTTTTAACAATCTTTGCAAATAATCAATCGGAGATTGTTATATTTTTTTATTTATTATTTTTTACGAATTTTATTTATTTATTTTTTTACGAATTTGAATAAATTTTCATTCAAAATTTTCAATTTTAAACTTATTTTGACAGTTTATTGTCTCAGCAGCTGTGTCAATGCGACTACCTGTATTCGTCTACCATTTTCAAAACTGTGCACACACACATAAACTATTATAAGTTTTGACGGAATGAAAAAATGCATCTGTACCATACTTGAAATAGTCCTTGATCTTGCTCAGAAATTTAGCACCATTTCTGGTGACCTCTTTACAAATAATTTTCTACGTAGTTATATTACTTTTTCATCTTAATCCATAACTCAAAATGAGTTTATCTCGAAACTGGTGAAATATAATGCCATGTTTACGTTAGAACTTTTTGTAGGGTTAACCTACTTTGAGAGGATTTATTTGAAGTAAAAGTAATGGATATGACAATTTAAATCCAAATCCAGTGGGTTAACCCTCATATATATAAACATACTATAAGACTCCTTAAGTTAATGGACAACGCTCTGTGTACGAATTATTGGTAATTCACTTAAAACTGATCCTATTGGCAATCACTATGAAGAAAAAATGGAAAACTAATTCTAATTTGTGGATTGTGGTCTACAAATTGTGGAACATACAAATGTAAATGTAAACTTCCCTTGTCTTATTTCTCATTACCTACATACGTTACCGCTCATACGCTCTATTGCAAATTCAATGTCTCTTACGCACGAATACAACTCTGTTTAAGTTATTGACATTCAATTCGCCACAAAAGTTTTGCTTTGACGAGAAACTCTGCAGCGAATTGGAGTAAATTCTTCGTTTTTTCGTGACACATCTATGTGAGGTGTGGTTGTAATTTTTTGTTAAATTCACTTAAAATATTTAGCAAAACACCAAAATATTTGTAACAATTCATACAATACACTTAGTGAATTAGGAATATATACTTAGATAACCATGGCGAACAGATTACCGGCTTGTGTGATTGATGTGGGCACCGGGTAAGTTGTCGGTCATTGAAGTAGAGAGGAGAAAAAACATGAAAAAAGTTTTTTGCTTCGCTTGGACAAAAAGTGGGGCACAGTGCAACGACTCATGAATGGTCACACTAAATGTAATAAGGATTTATTATTTGGTCCAATTTTAGTTATACGAAATTGGGCTTTGCTGGCAATAAGGAACCACAATTCATTATTCCCTCAGCCATCGCTATCAAAGAGTCGGCCCGTGTGGGTGACACTAATAGCCGTCGCATAACCAAAGGTGTGGAAGATTTGGATTTTTATATAGGCGATGAGGCATTTGATGCAACTGGCTACTCCGTTAAGGTAAGTAAAAACAATAAGATTAATGAATTTGATTATTATAGCTAATAGGAAGGTACATATACAAGTTTTCAACAATGTTTTGTGTGTGCGTGTGTATGTACGTGCACCTACCAATGACTAATCAATTGTTATCTTTATTTGTTGGTTTTTATTTTGTTGTGAATAATCTTGTGAGGAGACTCTTATCGTTAATTTCTGTTCTTATTTTAGTATCCCGTCCGCCATGGCCTGGTCGAAGATTGGGACTTGATGGAACGTTTTCTGGAGCAGTGTGTCTTTAAATATTTAAGAGCTGAACCTGAAGATCATCATTTCTTGCTAACAGAACCTCCATTGAATACTCCCGAAAATCGAGAGTATACTGCCGAAATTATGTTTGAAACTTTTAATGTTCCTGGTCTATATATTGCTGTACAGGTATTTAACGATTTGTACGGAGATATGAGCATGCATTCTAATTCATTTAATTTTGTTTTAGGCCGTTTTGGCATTGGCCGCCAGTTGGGCTTCCAGACCAGTTGAGGAACGTACCCTCACTGGCATTGTAGTTGATAGTGGAGATGGTGTTACTCATGTCATTCCAGTGGTAAGTGGTTACTTAGAAGCAGCTGAACGAATGTGAAAATACAGGGACCAATTTTAACACTTTTATTTCTATTTTTTGAATCGATTTATGAAAACGATTTTTCTTTAAAAATCTATGGAGCCATCTTTCCATTAAAAATATGAATTGTTCAACTGAATCCACATTTACCGATCTCCTTGCAGTACATGTGGAGAAACCGAAAAATTATATATTTTGTTTTTTAATTACCTTTTAAATTAAATTATTTTCTTATTAAAGGCTGAAGGTTATGTCATTGGCTCATGTATTAAACATATACCAATTGCTGGACGCAACATCACCTCATTCATTCAGAGTCTTTTACGTGAACGTGAAGTTGGAATACCACCCGAACAAAGTTTAGAAACTGCCAAAGCCATCAAAGAGAAACATTGCTACATATGTCCCGATATAGCCAAAGAATTTGCTAAATATGATGCCGAACCGGGAAAGTGGATTCGCAACTATACCGGCATTAATGGTGTAACAAAACAACCCTTTACCGTTGATGTGGGCTATGAAAGATTTTTAGGTCCAGAAATTTTCTTCCATCCTGAATTTTCAAATCCAGACTTCACCATTCCCATATCGGAGATTGTCGATAATGTCATACAGAATTGTCCCATTGACGTTCGGAGGCCATTGTACAATAATATTGTGCTTAGTGGTGGTTCAACAATGTTTAAAGATTTTGGACGGCGTTTGCAACGAGACATTAAACGTTCGGTAGATACACGCTTACGTATAAGTGAAAATTTATCGGAAGGAAGAATAAAGGTAAGGAATAAATATATTTAAATAAAATTTACTATGTTAAGTATTGTCAATTTTAGCCTAAACCCATTGATGTTCAAGTCATTACTCACCACATGCAACGCTATGCCGTTTGGTTTGGTGGCAGTATGTTGGCTTCAACTGTAAGTATTTGTTTTTCTCTGTTTTTGCCATACGTTATTTTAATATGTTTTTATGTTCTCCTTTTAGCCCGAATTCTATCAGGTTTGTCACACAAAAGCTGCCTACGAAGAATATGGACCCGGAATTTGTCGTCACAATCCAGTATTCGGTACAATGACATAATCATGCATTATTTTTCCACTTCAAAGGGTCTATTTTAAATATTTTATTGTGAATTCGGTTGATTCAAAATATTGATTCTAGTTGTCTTTTCGCTAAGACAAAAATAATTTCTATTTGGTTTCAAAAAAGTCTTTCTTTTTCTTCCTAATATTTTTTTTTCAATTTCTATTGATTTCACGTCACAGCTGTGTGATGGATCTTGTGTATTTCTTTAGACTAACAAAAAACAAAATATGAGAAAACCCGGTCAGTCTAACCGTCTAGACTTTGTTTTTGCATTTTCTTTCTCGCCTGAGTATTAAATATTATACATATATTTTAATTTTTTTTATAAATAACTTATATATATTTTAAAAGAACAGTACATTTAACTATAAATTTGGCCAAATGAAAAAATAAAATTTTACTAGAAATATATATACATTTCTTCCTCCTTCTATATATTTACTCACCATCCCATGACATCTACATCCTTGAAAATCATTATTTCTCACTATATAATTTTATAATGATGAAAAATAAAGCTTTTCCTTAAATCCTAAGATAAACTGATTCAAACCAATTGGAGCCGATGTAATCTAGCTCTTGAAACTAAAAAAAAAACAATTTAATACATGTATAATTTTTAAAACACACATCCACACAAGCTAACATAATTAATCATTCTTATAACATAAACAGAAGTAACATATTTAACAATTTATTTAGAAAACAATTGCCGCCTTTATTTTAATTTCATTATCAATAAACACCATAGTATAAAAAGAGCAAATTTAAAAAAATCATTTTTTTTGTGTGAAAGTAAATAAGTGAATCAGAATTTAAAACTTCAAAATAATAAAAACATTCGTTAGTTACTTATATTGCAACACTGAAAACGATAGTAATTAATAATAAAAACTCGAGTCAATATAAATTGATAATAATAAACAAAACATTTAAATGGTGTGTTTTCCAAGAAAGAAAAAAGACAACAATTTTTAATTTTTTAACAGCAAACGAAGTATTGTGTTAAAATTGCAATGAATTTTTGAGCTCAATAAAATGGGAGGGAAAATCAAACATTTAAATGGTGTGTTTTACAAGAAAGAAAAAAGACAACAATTTTTAATTTTTTAACAGCAAACGAAGTATTGTGTTAAAATTGCAATGAATTTTTGAGCTCAATAAAATGGGAGGGAAAATCAAATGTATTTAATCTATTTATGCTAAAACTTTTCGAAATGGTTTCCATTACATACCTGTATATTTCCCAACATAAGACATCCGCAGGGAAGATGTCTCATCGATCAATCCACTGGGAACCACCGCGAACTTCTTGGGATGCGGACAAGTAATAACGTGATAGGTCGATCTGCGGTTAGCTATGCGGCCCAGAGTGATCTGTGAATGTAAGTGTTATGTAGTGGAAGAGCATCAAGACCTGCCAGAATGCTGCCCTGAGAAAAAATGACGTGACAAAGGTCCAGCCCGTAAGTCAGCTTAACAATATGCTTTCGTTGTCTTTATGGTGGATAAATTTCCTCACCCAGTACATGGTTGCGGCATCCCTTGGTATTTGTACATCTTTGGAAAATGTAGACAAGTTGTAGACGCTGAGCTTTAACAACACTATTTCAATTTACATTGGTTCCTAAAATAAATGCATTTTCAATACATTAAAATCTGGAGAATAGGTCTTTAGCCTCAATGCATTTCTCACATTTTGGATTTGAGAATTGAATTTATTCATCCGTTAGTCAGCAAATACAGGATCTTTTGAGAGTGTTTATTTTGAACAGTAGTGGCAAAAACACTTAATTCCTTCGAAAAATGTAGCTTTAGAATATCTTTCAGTGGGCGTTATTAAATGATTTAATACTTGTAAAAGCGGTACAAGTAGGAATGTTCTGTTCCCTGTATTAATGAAGTCCGTTGGAATGTTGAAAATGTGCTGAGTATGGACCAAATAAGAGTATTCTACGATTTTTTTATGCGAGGAAATGGATCTCTATATCCTTTGGGTTTTGTAAACATTTTAATTTGCATAAATTTAAAATAAATTCTTTATGGCTTTTAGAACTTTTGTCATAAGATTAAAAGTATAATGAAGAGGAAAGATTTTTTAGTTACTAATAATCCAAAATCCATTTCGAATTGTAACCAATAATTTTAAGGTGTAAAGCTATATCGAAATCATCTGTATCAACAACAGTTGTTCTAAGATCCGAATGGAGCCCAGATCCACTGTCACCCCAGTCTATTATGCTACAAGAGTTCGTCTGCAGAACTACAACATTGTGTAAGATTGTTTGAAATTTCAACGCCGTTTTTCGCAAAAAGAAAACAAACCCCTCTTTTTTATGTAAGCCATGTGAGACGTTTTAATTTATTATATGCTCCATTCAAACACGAAAAGACAAGTGGTATATTTAAATATATATATATTTAATATTATATGCGTATAAATTGGAATAAGTACCCAAAACGAAAAAAAAAAAAATTGCAAAAATTAAACATTTATCAAATTCCTTTAATAAAATTATGCATTGGCAACTAGTAGGGATATAACAAATAAGCAAATCTACATTTCGTTTTATTATAAATATGAATTGCTTCTCTCACAAACTAACAATTTTTTTTTCTTCATAAAGATTAAAGTGATTTGTATGTGTTTATAAAATGTGTATATCATATAAATTGTTATTATTAAATTTCATCTATTTAAAATAGAAAATTTTCAAATATTAATTTTTGTATATGTGTTTTTGATGCTATTGATAAAAAATCGTTTATTCTACATTTATAGAGAGATAGTAGTAAGTAGGTGGTGGCGACAAATATTTCCGATTCTTTTTGCATTTGACTACATTGTTAATGTGATTTGTTCTTTAAAATAGTTACGTAAATTTGGGAAATTTATTAGTAAGAGATAATCTTAAATTCAAATGTACCAAAAGAAAAAAGTCTTTGAGACTTTAGTAGTTTAATAGACATACATATAAAGCCATATACGTTTCAGCTGTAAATTATGTTGTTTTTTATTTTTCATAACTTCCTGAAGTAGGGCGTTTTTTATTTTCATTTTTATTTGCCCATTAATCAAAATAATCTGTAGTATCTTCTTCAGTTGAATCATTTCCATCATTTTCACCTGGCTGCAGATTTTCGGTCGCACTTCGCACACTTTGAATAAATTCTCGCATGGCATGGACAACGTCGGTAAATGATTGACGCAGAACAGCTCCTATTTAAAATGAGAGAGACATTAGTGTTTACAAATGTATAATTGAAATGAGAAAAGTTAAACCTTGTCCTGTGCCAGCCGCTGCATTATCCAAATTCATGTTTAAAGCCTGTAAATGTCGATCTACTTCTGCCACTTCGTTTGCAGCATCGGCTGGAACCTGGGCAGCAACCCGTGCGGCAGCTTGTTCTACATTGGCAACAACCTGTTGCTGCTGCTGAGGATCTGCAGCGTTGGCAGCGGCGGCAGCATTTTGCAAGTTAAAAGTGGGTAATAGGGATTGGAAAAACATGGAAACAGATCGGTTACTGGCTGTGGTAGGGCTACTTGATGATGATTTCCTAAAGAGAAAAACATAATATTAAAATAATATTTTTCGTTTGGAAAAGATTAACCCACCTTTCATAAAAGTTGACGGAATCAAGTGGTGGCAATGGGTCATACATCATAATGGCCTCCTTTTCCTTAGCCACAAAAGGTGCCAATGGTACTTTCTCCTTGTAATCAGAGAGTATAACATGTCTCAATATGGGTCTTGGTGGCTGAACATAACGAGCAGATCTTTTTTGCTTGTAGTCTTGAATGACTTCATCTTTGCTTTCGATACGATCTAAAGCAGCGTTAACATTGCGCTCCAACCAAGGCAGGATGTTATTTTGACGCCAAATTACTTTGGCCCGACAAACATATAATGAAACCAATTGATGGAGGGCTGGAGATTGACTGTGGATTTGTAAAATTTGGAAATTAAAGTAAAACAATTGATGCTAATGTTATATTTACCTTCCAGAAACCTCTGAGTTGAAGTATGAGTTGCTCAATACCCGCTTATCTGTCTGAACTGATAACTCGTCCAGTAAAGGCTTCAAGACTCCCGGAAACATGAGCAAGGCGTACTGCAATGCCTTGTCGGCATTTTCGCCATCTAAGTAAGGAGTAGAAATCAAGATTAGATTCAATACGATTAAATTTTATGTCCAAACAGGATTTCTGAATAAATAAAATGCATACAAATAAAGAAAGAAATATTGATATTAAACACTCTTTAAACTTACCTCCATGCAACAAGAACAATGCTAGGGCATAAGAATATGCCATATTGGGTAATTGCGACAAATTACGTACAACATTATACTCTTCATAAAATTTTACTAGCCATGCATGTTGCTTGCTGCGTATGGCATAATAATCAATTATAAGAACCATTGCCAAGGGGTCTACATCAGGGTTTAGACTCAAAATCAATTTTGAAATTTCAAATGCCGTGCGGCAACAAGCTCTTGCTTCCAAGTACTGGGCATGTTTGAAAAGTACCACGAATAGGGCACGATTCTCTTGACGCCTATAGTCTAGACGACAGTTGCCATTTGTTAGACTGAAGCTTGGATGCAATGATGTCTCTAAAACTAGCACAGCTCTTTCGATTAATTCGGCGGCAAGTGAAAAATCTTCTGTCATTTTGCCTAAAAAGGAAAATTTGAATTTTTAAATTACTTTTAAGAACGGATTAATAAGTTTCTATACTTACACAATTCACTTAATTGTATTAAGGAATCGACGTGATAGGGGCAGCGTCGTATTAAATTTATCAAAAAATCGGAATCGGTTCGTTCTAATGCCGTAAGAAATAGATTTTGTACACTTTGATAATATTGACTGTGCTCAAAGGCAAACCATTGTACTTTATCCATTGATCCCACACGTGCCATTGTTGATGTGGATGTAGCATTATCCGGAGCCTGACATGGTCTCATATTTATAATGTTTTTGGTTACTGGTGGCCACGATTCTTTGGCTGTTACCATGTATGTCGATTTTAGTGTTAATTTTTGACGTCCGCGCTTGTTCCTGAAATTAGTGGAGTATAGAAAAGCTAAAATGGCAGAATAAATGACATATACTCACTCAATTTTGACTACTCTTTTACCGAATGTACGCCGCATTTCATTTTGAGGATTAAGATTTTTTAATTCCACCGCCATTAATGATTTGTCGATTTCAATTCTTGGCGTTGTTAATTTGGGATTTTGTGTAGTGGCCACCGACACTTTGTTGAGTAGAGGGTCTATGTCATTGATAAATTTGTCAGTAAGCTGAAGAGAAAGAATAAATAATGTTAATATAAAGTTGCTTAGAGAAATATTTCTGATCTGAACAACTCCATATTTTAAAAGGTCGTTATACGTATAAATACAACGGGATAGTCTTTTTTCGCAGTTTTCCCGAAATATGGTTCTTTGAATGTAAAATAATTGTTAAGCCTTTCAGGTCCTCATTAACAAAGTTTTGAGAGCGGGTTCTTTGAATGTAAAATAATTGTTAAGCCTTTCAGGTCCTCATTAACAAAGTTTTGAGAGCGGGAAATTGCGGATTAGTAATGGAATTAAACATAGCAATATATAAAATATCAAGTTTTTAGGATGGCTGACTTTCACATATAAACAGTTTAAATGTCCAGAAAGTAAGAACTATTACATCTTTGCGATCAGTATATTAAAGGCAGCTTTTTACACAAGTTCACAATCACCAAGAACTTTAACGCGTTGTGGCTTACTTTACAAATCGTCATTATTATTATAGTACACAGTATTTTAGAATAGACACACATTAGGTTTACAGCTTAATTTACCTCATTATCTTCACTGCTTATATGATTTCCCGTGTACTTGGACTTCTTCTTGCGCTTCTTCTTTTTCTTCTTGGAGGCGGCTGGTCCAGTTTCAAGATTAGTAGCTGCAGATGCATGCTCAGTTTCATTGTCATCCTCTTTTACCTCGCTTTCCGAGGGACTTTGTTGATTCAGCTGAATTTGAAATGAATAGAAGAAAAATCTATGAACCACCTTATTAAAACTAATCCAATATCTTAAACTAAAAGCAACATATCTTGGTCCTATACCATGATATATATGATTGAATATGTATAAAAAACATATGTTATGATTTAACTAACCTACATTCATAACAAATATTTTGTGTATATGTAGATGGAAGACAAGTCAATCGTTTTTTTCTTGGCCCTTAAACACCACCCACCCACACTTACTGAAGACCAAATAAATAAGAAGCAAATAAAAAAAGCAAACGGCAACAAAACAAAGAATCATCTACATATCTTATAACTCTTACCAAATCGAAAAAGTTGGATTTTCCCTTGCCACTTTGCAAATCGGGATCTTCTTCACCCTCACTGCTCAACAGATTATCAACATCTTCATCGTTGGGCTGAAGTTCATCAGCACCCTGCAACTTCTTTAAGACTCTGGATGACATTTTTTATAGATGTCCTTCTTTAGTTTTCCTGGAAAACAACAACTTGGACAAGGTCCTTTTGATGGCTTTCTAGATTAGGATTATACTAATCTATTGATTGTTACTCGATTTTCAGATTTTTTCAAGAGATGTGTCGTTTTGGTAAGATATTCATTGGGCTATTCAATTAAAAGAACGTCATGAGCTAGTTCGTGCTCATATGAAAAATGAATAATAATTTTAATCGATGGTCATATGCAGACAGTTTCAAGAAAGATGAATAAAATTTTTCCAAGATTTCCCTAAAGATAGGAAATAACAAAAAATTCATGTTGTTAGACCGCTGCCTTAAATTGTACGTTTTCATCAAAAGAGGTGAGGCCTCGCCTAGAAACGTGGTAGAAGAATATAGGTAGATACAACCATGGTACAATGAAGAGAAGGTAGGTCAACTTTGAAAAAATTGCAAGTATAGAGGTCTACCTGTTTGGCTTGTAATGTCAGAATGAGTATCAAAATAATAAAAAATCAAACAACTTGTTGCATTTATTTTGAATAAATAATTGATAACCGCGAAAACTGAATGAAAGGCCAACATTTCTTTTCAAAATCATGTTCTATATATCTCTAAAGGTTTATTTCGCTACAAAAACTGTAGATACTCTCGATGCATACGTTGAAATAAACATTTGAAAACACCCGAATTTGAAGTTTTCTGAACAATTTTTTTGTTATTGAAAAGAAAACACATACATAAACAAATAAAGATGACATATTAAGCCAAGAAAATAAAAAAATTAAAATCATATGGTATCATAGCCCTACCTTGATATCATTGTACCATGGATACAACAACGCTTAGAAACATTAATATGTCAAAAATTTTAAAGTGTTTTGTCAAAAATAAGTGGAAATGTATATGTTTTCTTGTACAACGCAAATCAGAGGTTGTAATGATATGCATTTTTCAACAATTTTTAAAAAATTTCAATAATTTTTCATTCAAGATTTTCAATTTCAAAATCGGTTTGATAGTCCATTGTTCCAGCAGCTGTGTCGATGCGACTACCTGTATTCTTCTACCATGTCTAGAAACATATACATTCGAAATTCGTGTGTAGATTGTGAATTAATGAAATGAGAACATTATTAATTACTACTTGTAAAATCGGTCTATCAGTTTTAGTCTAGATTCAAACCTTCGTACTTCCTATATAAAATAATAGATAAATTCAAAGGAAGATAAAAGCGAAACAAAATTTAAGCAAAAAGAAACAAAAATACTATTTAATAAAAAAAAAATGAAGACCGTATTATTTTATTTCACACTTGGTTTTTAAGCAGACATATATATGCACAAATTATACGATAATTTTTTCTGTTGTAAGCATTGTAGAAGAATACAGGTTATCGCATCGACACAGCTGCTGGGACAATGAACTGTCAAAACGATTTTGGAATTGAAAATGTTGAATGAAAAATTATTGACATTTGTAAAAATTGTTGAAAAATTCATATTATAACACCCACCGATTTGAGTCGTATAAGAAAACATTTAAAAATATACTTTTTTTGATAAAACATTTTCACAATTTTGACATATCAATGTTCCCAAGCGTTGATGCATCTACCTATATTCTTCTACCATGGTTGTAAGTCATCGGTTGGCTTCTTATGTAACAAACAAATGGAGTTTGGATCTGGATCAATTTCGGTAACAAATTATAATTAATTATAAATTAAATTAATTAAATTATAAATTATAATTAATTAATTAATTATATTGGTGTACCTGTTTGGCTTGTAATGTCAGGGTTACTATCAAAACAATCAAAAACCCAAACAACTTGTTGCATTGATTTTGAATTAATAATTGAAAATAAGCACTTTGAAAACATCCGAATTTGAATATTATTGAACAATTTTTATTATTGAAAATAATACACATACATAACAAATGAAGTTGGCATACTAAGCCAAGAAAATTATCAAAAAATTAAAATTATATGGTATCATAGCCGTACTTTGATTTTATTTTACCACGGGTAAACCTAAATTCCCTAATACTTCCATATCACGCTTAGATACAAAATTTAACCGGATTAACCCACATTATGAGGATCCCTAGCTTAATCCGGAATTATTCAACTAGATTTGTCATGCAAAGGTGGATCTTCTTACGCCCAGACTTTTTAAAATCATAAATGAATAACGGAAATCATCACTGAGTACAACATTAGTAATACAGTTCACTCCAAAGTCGCAAATGTTTATCTTTTTATCAATAACAAAAACATAACATTTCATTTTCTCTTGACATATATCAATATATCAGAATTTTTATCCTCCTAAGGAATAATCCACTGGATCCAATAAACCCAGTGGTTTAATCTTCAATAGTACATATGTGCTTTTATGAAAGAAAAAAAATATTTTGGTTTCTTGGATTTTATTCTGGTTTGATATCATAATGCTTTCCACAAGCAAATCCTGTTAAAATCGCGCTAAATAGACGGCTTTATCGAACTGCAAGACTCCTTACTGGTTGGGGTTTCACCGAAGACTTAAAACAGGCTTTGTTTATTAGTTACTGCCAAATTTCGTATATTACCTTCGAATTAACTACGGAAGATTGTAGTAAAAATCGATTAAACGATTTGTTTAAAGTCGACCTAAGTACCCCTTGTTGTTTGTTTTGGCGCAAAATTGCATGCAAAAATATGCCGCATGTGTCGCCATATTTAGTGCCGGTATTTCTTGAATAGTTGACATTTTATTCGTTACAGAGTGCAAAAAGCCAACAGTGTATAATTAAAGAGCATGCAATTTGAATACAATTGATATATTTCTCATATTTCTAGTGATATATTGAAAGGAATTACTTTATTCTATCGATTGACATTTTGCACAATTAGTACTATTTTTTGCAACATTGTGTGCAAATGTAAGCACGCTTGTCAATTGCTGTGTGGTTGTCATTCATTTTGTTCCGCTCTTTGTGTGTGCATCGGCGCTCATCATTTGTCTGGGAGAAAAGAACGAAAAATAAAATAAATTCAGTGAATATAATATTTTTAAAAATTGTGTTGGCTTTAAAGCCTTTTTTCACTTTTGTTTAAACCGCAAGAAGGCTGGTAATTTCTTGCAATTCCGTTTAACTGGCCTCGATCATTTTGACCAGCTAAACAATCTCTCTATTCGGATTACTTCGTCGTAAAAAAGTACGTTAATAAAGAGAAGTGCTGCAGCTTGGTTCTTTTGAGCGTGGTGTGGTGGCTGACAGCTGAAATTCAAGCATCAACATGTCAAACATTGTTCTGGATAAAGATACTTTTTTGAGACGAATAAAGCGTCTCTACGACGAGTGGAAGGTGAGTATATTGGAACCTTCAGTTCTGCATTTGTTAAACATTGTGAAATTGTTCCATGTTTATTAGAAAGAAGTGTTGACTGTTTTCATTTTGGTTTGTTTGGTAAATGTTACTTTACATTAAAGGGAACGAATCCCGTGTCCTAGACACGATCGTTAACGCCAAAAAAGTTGGTTGTTTGTATTACGCTAATAAATGTCTCTTCAATCTAGAAATATTGTTGTATTCACCGCGTAATTTGAACTAAATATTAATGAAAACAAAAATATGTTAAACAAAATCCAACACCTTTACGTTTTTAATCGATATTTTCCGTATAATAAAGAGGAACCCGTGACAAATTTACCTTTAACTGTATAGTTAAATTTCTCACTTTATAATGAGCAAATACCTTTATTTTTCATATCTCTATTCTTACAGCAACCTACCATAACTCATGATGATGCCCTTAAAAGGGTCGACTGTATTATGTCAGTTGTGGGCGTGGACGAGGACATTGTATATTCCAAGTCTACAGCTTTACAAACATGGCTATTAGGCTACGAACTAACCGACACGATATCGGTATTTGCGGCGGATGGTGTGTATTTTCTAACAAGTAAAAAGAAAATTGAATTTTTGAAGCAAATTGAAAATTGTAAAGTTGATGGAGTGCCAGAAATAAAACTTTTAGTGAGAGACAGGGTAAGAATTGTAATTGTTTCTTCATTTAAAAGATCATTTCCTCATCTTAATTTGTTTCTTTACAGAATGATAAAGACAAAGCCAATTTTGAAAAGCTCAAAGATATCATGAAATCCTCCAAAGAGGGAAAGAAGCTGGGAGTTTTTATCAAAGATGGATATCCTGGTGAATTTTGTGAGTCATGGAAGGCCACACTCAAATCCGCCGGCTTTGAAAATGTAGATATAAGTGGGGCCATAGCTTATATTATGTGCCCCAAAGATGAACCAGAAATAAATAATATACGTAAAGCTTCGTTGGTATCTGTGGATCTTTTCAGTAAATATCTGAAGGATCAAATAATGGACATTATCGATTCGGATAAGGTTTGAAAATATGACCAATTCTCTCTATATTATTTTCAAAATGCAATTATTTTATTTTCAGAAAGTAAAACACTCCAAATTGTCGGAGGGCGTTGAATCGGCTTTGACCGATAAAAAATATGTTACCGGTGTCGATAGTTCATTGCTGGAAATGTGTTATCCGCCCATTATACAATCCGGTGGTCATTACAGTTTAAAATTCTCCGCTTTAAGCGATAAAAATCATCTGCATTTCGGCTCAATTGTATGCTCATTGGGTGCGCGTTATAAATCTTATTGTTCGAATATTTCAAGAACTTTTCTGGTAAATCCTACGGAGGAAATGCAAGACAACTACAATTTTCTTGTCAATGTTCAGGAGGAGATACTCAAATTACTAAAACCTGGAGCTAAACTAAATGAAATATATGACCACGTTTTGGAATATGTTAAGAAGGAGAAACCAAAACTATTGGAGAGTTTCACTAAAACATTTGGTTTTGCCATGGGCATTGAATTTCGTGAAAATTCTATTATAATTGGGCCCAAATGTACAGCTGAGGTGAAAAAGAATATGGTCTTTAATGTTAATGTTGGTATATCTGGCCTCACAAATCCAGATTCTCAAGAGAAGGAGGGTAAAACCTATGCCTTGTTTATAGGTGACACCGTTTTGGTGGGCGATCAATCACCGGCCAGCATAATGACGCCGTCAAAGAAAAAGATCAAAAACATTGGTATTTTTATCAAGGATGACAGCGAGGAAGAGGATGCTGATGAAAAGGAAGAAATCAAGGAAGACAAGAGCCAGACAATGTTGGGAAGAAGCAAACGTAATACAGTTCTCGACTCAAAGTTACGTACAGAAACAAATACGGAAGAAAAACGCAAGCAACATCAAAAAGAATTGGCACAAATACTGAACGAAAAGGCTAAGGAACGTTTGTCTAAACAAAATGATTCCAAAGAGGTTGAGAAAGTACGCAAGAACACTGCCTCCTATAAATCAATGAGTCAAATGCCACGTGAACCGGAAGTACGGGAGTTAAAACTCTATGTGGATAAGAAATATGAAACTGTTATTATGCCCGTCTTTGGTATACCTGTACCATTTCACATTTCCACCATTAAAAATATTTCACAATCCGTGGAGGGTGAATACACGTATTTACGTATAAACTTTTTCCACCCCGGCGCAACAATGGGTCGTAATGAAGGTGGACAGTTTCCTAATCCTGAGGCAACATTTGTCAAGGAACTGTAAGTATGAAAAGAGATTATGAACAAGTAATGAGAAATTAATGAATTTTATTTTCTAATTTTCAGTACATATCGAAGTTCTAACATCAAGGAACACGGAGAAGTAGTTGCGCCCTCTTCCAATTTAAATAATGCCTTCCGTCTTATAAAGGAAGTACAGAAACGCTTCAAAACTCGTGAAGCCGAAGAACGTGAAAAGGAAGATCTTGTTAAGCAAGATACATTGATATTATCCCAAAATAAGGGTAATCCAAAATTGAAAGATTTGTACATACGTCCAAATATTGTAACCAAACGTATGACGGGTAGTTTGGAAGCTCATACCAATGGTTTCCGTTATATCTCAGTTCGAGGAGATAAGGTGGACATTCTTTACAACAATATCAAAAGCGCGTTCTTTCAACCGTGTGATGGTGAAATGATTATTCTTCTACATTTCCATCTCAAGCATGCCATTATGTTCGGCAAAAAGAAACATGTTGATGTTCAATTCTATACTGAAGTTGGTGAAATTACTACCGATTTGGGTAAACATCAACATATGCACGATCGTGATGATTTGGCTGCTGAGCAGGCTGAACGTGAATTAAGACACAAATTGAAGACAGCATTTAAAAGTTTCTGCGAAAAGGTAGAATCAATGACCAAACATCAAGTGGAGTTCGATACACCATTCCGTGAATTGGGTTTCCCCGGTTGTCCCTATCGCAGTACAGTTACTCTTCAACCCACCTCAGGCAGTTTGGTTAATCTTACCGAATGGCCACCATTTGTTATCACCTTGGATGACGTTGAGTGTGTACATTTTGAACGTGTACAATTCCATTTAAGAAATTTCGATATGGTTTTCATTTTCAAAGACTACCACAAAAAGGTGGCCATGGTAAATGCAGTACCCATGAACCTATTGGATCACGTAAAGGAATGGTTGAAGTATGTAGCATAACTTCTATTTTAATATTCCAATTTTTTAAAATTATGTTTTGATAATGTTTTAGTTCCTGTGATATTCGCTATACCGAAGGCATTCAATCCCTTAACTGGGCCAAGATCATGAAGACCATTACTGATGACCCAGATGGTTTCTTCGAACAAGGCGGTTGGTCCTTCTTAGACCCTGAATCGGGAAGTGAAGATGAAAATGAAGAAGCCGAATCTGAGGAAGATGAAGCTTATGAGCCTACTGATTTAGAGTCAGATGCTGAATCTGAAGATGATTCAGAATACTCAGAAGCATCAGAAGATGACAGTGATGAGGACAGTGAGGGTATGTTCGTTTCTAGTTTTCTAGATGTAATTCATAAAACTTAAGAATACAAATTCGTTATCAAACTTCATTTTATTACTTTAAAACTTTTTTGATTTCTTCTTTTCAAATTTGTTTTTATAAATTGTTTTCTTTTTTATTTACAAAACAGAACTTGGTTCGGATGAAGAATCAGGTAAAGATTGGTCCGATTTAGAGCGAGAGGCTGCCGAGGAGGATCGTAATCGTGACTACGAACATTCTGACGGTGACAGAAAACAGAATGGCAAACATCATTCTAAACACTCAAAGAGTTCAAAACACAGGTGAGCTATGAATTGCTAACATTTTGTACTTATCGTCTTAAGGAATTACAATATGTTAAGGGAATTTCTGAGAATTTTTTGTATTTATATTTTACCGGGAAGGGATTACTTGATATGGAATTAATTTTATGTTCCAATACTTAAAATTAGCAATATTAATTAACTTCTACTAAAATGTTGTAATAATTTGTTTATTGACATTATTAAAAACAGTCGGCGAGATCGAGCTGTACAAGAGCAAACCCATAAGAAACATCGTAAATCTCATTCATCCTCTTCGGCGAATGCCACATCGAAATCTACAAAACACACAAATAGGTTTGTGATTTTTGTGTCTTTTTAACCCAAGCTCCTATTGCCACTCATATGTACATTTGAACACATACATTTAAATTGGCTTATAGACAAAAACATTAATTTTATCGTTTTTCTTTTTTTCAAAAAATTAAACACAAAATAAATGTTTGTACCCATACATTTTTTTCTAAATTGTAAACACTTTACGCCTTGGCATGCATTTTTTTTTTGGAAAAATGAAGACGGCTAACCTTTTTTTTGTTTTTTTTTTTTTTTCTTTACTAGCCCCGTCAAATCATCTCACAAGGATAAACACCACGATCGCAGTCGTGACAAACATCATTCCTCGTCCTCGTCGCACAAAGATAAAGATCGCGACAAGAATCGTCACCATCACAGTAGCAGTAGTAGTCATAAACGTTCTCGAGATGATAGTCGAGACGGTGGCCACCATAAATCTAAGAAGTCGCGTCATTAAATCAAACATCGTCGCTCATTTCTAATTTAATAAATAAAACCTTTTTTAAGTTTTCTCTATTTTATGCCACACTATTTTCATTACCTTCTTCTATACCTCCGTGTTCTTTTTTTCATTTACAACCGTTAACTATAGTGTTTCTATTATAACTATTTAAGTTTGTGCCCCTTGTTTGTTTCCTATTTTCTCCATATAGAGTTCAAAACAATTGAAATGAAAAATTTGTTTTGTTAAAGGAAAAATCTTTTCTGTTTATAAAATCGTATTCATAAAAATTTGGTTGTTCGTTATACTTGAATGTTTTGTCTCAAGACAAAAACTCATTTTTTCTCCCCATGTTAAATATATTCGATTTAAAACAATTTTTTTTTTATTATTCCACTGTTGTCTCACAAACGAAAAATTTAATTTTTTCTAAGCAAGATTATAAGTTTATATACAAGAATAGTAACAATAAAAAAAAAATCAGAATGATATGACAACTTTTTATTTGTTTTATGAGGTAAGATCTTTGAATCTAGTTACACTTTTCCATGTACATGGCCAGTCGAGGGAGTCTCGTTGAAATTATACAATATACGTTATAACTTTAGACGTTGATTCCTAGAGGGCAGAAAATATACTCGAAATAAAAATCAAGGAGTTCATATTTCATCCAATCCAAAATAAAAATTCTATAACATACATATGATTTCTGTTTTTTCTTTTGACATACATAAATAGCACCTCATTGTTCACGTATCATAATATCTTTGCCATATAGCTAAAGAAAGTGTATATCATTTGGTACGGAAAATGTCTTTCTGGTTGGCTGGGGCGCATGATAATTCTCAAAAGCAGTATCCGATTCAGTCCAAACTTGATCTCAAACTGAGATCAAGTTCGAAAAGAGTAGTCTTTCCGCTTCTGGAATTCTAGAAATTTTATAAGGTTTAGGCAGTATCGGCCAAGGGGTATTTCAAAGAACCATAACTTTTATAAAATGCGAAATTAGGCACCGATTTTCTTCAAACTTTACACGTTTCTTCTATCAACCCAGAACTAGAGCAAAGTTAACCCATGTCAGTTCACTTCTTCTGGTACCTCACCCACAAAAGTTCCGTAATATTCAGGACAACATTGGTCAACTCCTTTGTATACCTTCCCTACGGGGGTTAAACATTTTTAATAAGAATTACTCTAGTAATATGTCAAATTTGCTATCTCCGTCATTAAAGTTAAAAAGGTGATATGAAAAATGCACATAAAACGAATCATCCAACAAGAATATTTTATACAGGCCTCTTTTGGGCACAAAGCCTATATTCAATTTGGATATCAATTTGGGATATTGTGACAATTGTAAATATAATTTATAATATTCAGTCAGATTTGTTGATAAATTTGATAGTCCTTTGTGCTAGTTTAACATTGAATTTTTGACAAATGCCACTTCTTTATTTTTTAAAAACTTCGATTAAAGTTATTCTTTCTTATTATTAAATGTTGATTAAAAATTTCATATATTCTAAAGTTGCTACATCTCAAAAACAACTTAGCAATCAACCACTAAAAGCATATGACTTTTTTACTTTTTCTTCTTAAATTTTGCACTAATACTACGATAATGTGTTGCAGCAGCGTTCGGTATGGTGACATTATCATGCATATCCTTTGTAAAAGCTGTTGTACCACCACCACCACCGACACTGGTGCACTTTCTCAAACCAAATGGCCGTTTGACATCGAACATATTACGTGTCTTATTGATGGGGAAACGCATTTTATTCTTTAGCCAGCTGGTAAATGCTCTCTCGTTGTCATGCATTTTACGCATCTCTTCTTCGGTTGTCTTAAGGGTCTCCTGCAGCATTGAATGTTGTTTACGACGTAGTTTTTGTTCACGTTCCAAAAGTTGATCACGTGACAGACCATATTCCGATAAATACCCTGTGTATTTGGGTAATTTTTGTTGGGCATTTTTGAATTCGCAACAGGTTTTGTAGTGTAGCTTTAGTTCGGTTACTTCGGGTGGCGGTTGAAAACGACGATTTGCTGCTGTTGTATTATTGTTTTTATATGGTGAACTGGTGGAGCCAACAACATTTGAATGTTTCGTTTTGCGTTTAAACGAAAATCGCTTGTGAAAGGGCATTCTACGGGAACGATGATGACATTTATTGTCTGAGGAGGTTAGCGAGGCTTTGTCACAGTCAAATGTGTCGTCTGGAAGATATGATGCAACAATAATCGAGAGTTTATCATCCTCATCTTCATCGTTTTCGTATTCTGCCTTTTCTGTGTCTTCTTGTACTTCTGTTTTATATGCATGAAGATTCAAAGAGTTTTGGGTTTCTAAAAGATTTTTTTCATTGTCACTATCCTCCAGCAAGGATTCGTTGTAGTTAAAATCCAAGGCATCTTCTTCATTACCATCTTCATGGATTGTAAGACAAGTGTTTTCGTTTTCAATGGATTCGCCTTCCTCCTCCTCATCGTCATAATTTTCATTATCTGATATTAATAGATTTGTTAAGCTTTTATTATCCTGTTCGTCTTCCTCACAGTAGTCAAATGTGATTTGTTTTAACATTTTACGTTGTACGGTGCTTGGACTTTCACAGCTATTGAATGACTCAATTTTATTTTCATTTTCCATATCCATAACAAGAATTTCCTCACATATCTCCTCGATAACTTCTTCCACATGTGGTGGCGCCATCATTTCTTCGTTTTCACAATGATGATCCAAACAAACGCTTGATTCCTTACTATTTTCCTGATTTTCTACATCTCGTTCAGTGACTGATTCCTCTTCCGTTATTATTTCTAATTTTGGGTTGAGATTTTCATTCGGTGTGGAATTTTCAGTTTCGTGAACTGGATTTTGTTCATCTTCCTGGTCTTGGCCTTTTCCCAGTTTATTCTCCAATTCTTTTAGACTTATGCCACTAAGCGGTTCATACACCTCCAAATTGGCAGCAAAACTTACTTTTCGGCTGCCATTCAAGGCCATTAATTCCAAATTATTTTCATTGCCGTCATTGGAATTGGCGCCTTCGTCAATCTGCTCGGCAAACAACTCTTTATTGGCTTCCTTTATTTTATCTACAATGTTGTATTCATTGACTGGTTTCAAAACTAAAAAAAACGATATAACAAATTTTCAAAACTTCTCCACGCATTAGTTTCATACTTACAATAGACCTCACAATCCTCATCTGATTCGGTTTCATGCTCGTATATATCTGTCATGTCTTGTTTTCCTGGACAATTTGCACAAACTGCGTGTTCAAATATTAGAATTACAAGAAACACATATCTTTGGCATAAATTTTTAGGAAAAAATGGTATATTCCAATTTCGTATTCCTACCCAACCACCACCACAACTTCCTCCGCGATTTTTTGTTCGTTTTGTTTTTGGCGAATATTGGTTTCAATCAATTACAAGTCATGCACTTAATATTTTCGTTATTTTTATTACTTTTGGCATTTGTTGTACTACATGGATAATTTGAGTCATAAATTTACTTTTGGCTTTCTTCTTCTCCTAACTTTTTCGTATGATTTTCCAAAGAACCCACAAACTTTTCGTACAAAATTTATTTCAAAAGAAAATTCTATTGTATTGAAATTTTTCGTGTTCAGACAGTGGTATCCAAATAACGTTATGACTGGGAATATTTGTGATGCAAACCTACATCCATACCAACTCTAAAACACCTCAATGGCAAACAATTCAGTTCACCTGGGTAACCGGAGGCGGAGTCAATAAATAAACAAATAAAACAAGCTGCTATACCATGTTTGATCGATGTACTGCGGAATTTCTCATTAACCCTGTGCATAACCTTACAGGGAGTAAAGGATTGTTTAGGATATCGTCTGCACGTGTTTGAATGGTGAATTTCTTTAACATATTTTACCATATTATATATATATAATAATACATTTATATATATAATATATAAAAATAATAATTACAAACATAAATTAGGAGAATGGCTTGGTTAGCTACGTTTTTATACCCTCAGCCATATGGCTACAGAGGGTATATATCATTTGATACGGCCAAAACGTGCCTAGTCGAAATAACGGTTTTAGACCCTAGGTCTCTTTGGACCAAATCCGTTTCAGAACATTTGACGTCGATCTAGCGATGTCCGTCCGTCCGTCCGTCCGTCTGTCTGTCTGTCTGGCTGGCTGGTGCGCACGATAACTCTCGAAGGGAGTATCCGATTTGGTCCAAATTGGCTACATCGTAATATTTTTGTCAAACTTAGATCGAGTTCGGAGATGGGCAATATCGGTCCACTCCTTCTGGTACCTCCCCCACAAAAGGTCGAAATTTTCAAACAATATATTTTTTGCACAGAAAGAGAAAGGATAATCCGAATTAGCTCCAACTTTGCATATCCTAAAATTTGCGTCAGTACTAGATCAGGTGTGGAAATGGACAATATCGGTCCACTCCATCAAGTACCTCCCCCACAAATGGTCAAAATTTTGAATAATTACAATCTCATTAAATGTGATGTAAAAGGCCGATTGTATTCAAATTTCACACATCCTAATATTTGTATTAACCCATGGTCTGGTGTGAAGGGGGAATACATCGGTCCACTCCTTCTGGTACCTCCCCCATAAAATATTGAAATGTTGAGTACCCACGAAGCTCATAAAACGCCAAAGTAACATCCGATTCCATTTAGACTTGGCACATCTGTCGAAATATTTATATCATATTTTGGGTCCGATAGGAAATGGACAATATTGGCCCATTCCTTCGGGATCTGCTCCATAGAGGGTCAAACGTTTGAGTAATCTTAACACTAGTCAAAATATATTTAGATAATCGAACATAGGCTGAGGGTATATATCTGGCGGCAATACCGACCGATACTTTTTAACTTGTTTTTGGTACAATTTACCAGGGAGAAGACCTCAAGCGTCGAAAATATATCAATGACCGAAATTACAAGAAATCTTCAATCTTTCTGAGCTTTTCCGAGTGAATGAACAATGTATATCCCAACAGAAAAAATCCTATATCCAGACTAACCAGCCTATACCAGCTGTTTGGCTAACATAAGCTACAATGAATAATGTCTCAAAAATAACGTATTAGACCCTAGCTATTTTTGGACGAAATCAGTTTCAAGATATTTGGAATTGATCTACTAGTATCCGTCTGTCTCTCTTGTCCCACCAGCAAGGGCACAATTATTCTCGATGAAAGTATCTGATTTCTAAACTTGCTACATCGTAATATTATTATCAAACTTCGATTAAGTTCAGAGCTGTGTAACATCAATTCACTCCTTCTTTCTTGTACTTCCCACACAAAAGGTCAAAAATGTCAAACAAAAACATTTACATGAGAGAAAGTCTAATATCCGATGGGCTTATCTTTGCCCTCCCCAACATTGGGTATAACCACACCGCTCGTATACTGCGACAGAAAGGATAACTCCTTCTGGCATTTTTCAATTAAAAAAAGTAAATATTTTTTCAAAGACCATCGGGCCTTAAGACATGTATTTTTATTAAAGAATACTTTTTGAAGGACAATCCGAGATCCAGACGAGTATTTTTTGAAAAGTATTTTTTAAGGACAGTCAGAAATTCAAACGAAATGTTTAAGGACGTTTATTCAAGGATAATCAGAAATTCAAACGTGACAAAAAATTTTTTTGTCAAGAACTATCAGACCATCAAACCTGATCTTTTTTTAATGTTTTTACGAGGACAATCAGAAATTTGCAAGGAACATCACCAAACATACTTTTATTTGTTGAATATTGTTTTAAGGACTACCAACGTGAAATGTTCAAAGGACTACTAACGTATTTCTTTTTCTAAATAATCTTTTTTAAAAACTATCAAATTATGAAAACTTAAGTTTTTTGAAGGACTATCAGACTATCAAATGTGAATTTTTAAAGACTATTTTTTCTCGGACTATCAGCTCTCCAACCAGGATTTTCTACAACTGTCTTTTCAAGGGCTATTGAATTTTTCTAAGAATATTTTTCACGGAATGTGACAATTAGACAACAAATCGTGGATTTTTTTCAAATTTCCTACTTGATTTTTTACAATGTATTTTCAGAGACTATCATACCACCCAAAATGGATTTTTCAATTTTTTTTCAAGGACCACCAACGTGAATTTTGTGAAAAATATTAAACCCTGGATTTTTTATTTTTTCAATCATTATCAGACTCAAAAAACTTGAATTTTTTAATGAATGTCCCAAGACAATTGGACCACCAATGTTTTTACAAACATTTTAGATTTTTTTAAATATTTTTTAAGGACCAAACGGGACTGTTTGGAGAATATTTTTTCAAGGATAATAAGACCACCAAATGGATTTTTACAATGTGTATTTTTAATTGTTTCTGGATTTTTTTATAAATATTTTTTCAAGAATGGATGGATTTTTAAAACTAAGGACGACTATATGAAAAAATATTCCTCAGTAAACCTCTTTTGATATTGCTGTAAACTGTGGGAGATGGGGGTGATCGTGTGCTAAATCAATGAAGAGAAAAACAGCAAGAATTCGAAAAACTGTGACCAATAGCGACAATAGCTTTGTTGGTACAGTTTAGAAATCATTTTTCAAAATTTCGGCAATGTACGGCCGAGGAAGCGAACCTGGAGCCCGTATGATGATTTGATTTTTGTGCGGCGTTCTGAAACGGATATCTGATTATCCGGAACTTCTTCAAACTAAACAACGACTACAGCGTAATCGAGGAAGAGATTTTTGCTGTCAAAAAATCAAAACTGGAATAAAAAATCAGAACTGGACGCAACGGTGACTATATGTCGATAATAAAGCGGCCATGAAAGCACTAAATTAATATACCATTAAATCTATGGCAATTTTGGAGTGCAGGAATTCTCTAGAAAAAATTGAGTCGTCCTTCAAGCTTCAACAACATCTCTGAAAACGAATCAGCAGATGAATTGCCACGTCGTGGATCCAAGTCAATTGATCTAGAATTCGGTGAAGCCACCGTTGTGCCACTTTTTTCAAGTGATACATAAAATTACTTGGGGAGATTTCAACTAAATGGGCTGCAATGTCCTCAAAAAACTTTGGCTGGTGATCTCTGAAAGGGGATCAAGGTTGCTCATTTCCATGGCGGAATAGGACCTAAAGCTTGTGGTTGCAATAATCACAGGTCACTGAAAAGAAAGGGTGTCCAAATAGAACGAATTGTTTAAATTTGGTGCGATTCGAAGTGTCGTTGTTTGACATTTGAAAATTGTTATTGATTGTTTGCATTCTCATTGTGAAATTGTTTTAGCAAAATGGTGAAAGTTTTGCGGCTAAAATTTGCAAATTGTCATACATTTATAGTCACAATAATGCTCCAAAAGGGACTTCTTCAAAGAGATTAATGGATAAATGCACCGAAACTGGGGCTGTTAGTGATGCAAAGACAACAACGCGCCTTCGACCAGTTCGATCGATCGAAAATATCGCAGCTGTACGTGATGACGTCGCTAGAACTCCTTCCACCTAAATTCGACATCGAGCTCAGCAAATTGCAGCGATTTTTTACGAAAGATTTGCTTCTTCATGCATACAAACGTCAAGTGTCTCAGGAACTGAAACCAGCTCACCATGCACATCGAAGGAAGTTTGTTAATTGGGTATTGGAGAAACAACATGAAAATGCCGATTTTCCCGGTAAAATCATCTTCAGTGGCGAGGCGCATTTCCATGTTGATGGCTTCGTCATTTCTGGGTCGTGTTGTTTCTAGTTTTTTAGACCAGAAATCGTGTTTTTAGATTTTTTCTTTGGTTTTTTTTTGAAGTAGTTGATTTACGCGAATAAGCCGACGGCGACTCAAGCCTTAAAAGAGGAAATTGGAGGCTGCATTAATGAAATACCGCAGCATTTCTGCAAAAAGGTCATTGAAAATTTCATAATATAAAAAAAAGTTCATCAGTCCGAGTGTAACACATCGAAATAATAATTTTGGACCTAACCAAATATATATATTCTTAATGGGCGAAAAAGACGATATAGCCCTGTCCGTCCGACCGTCTGTTGTAATCACGCTAGAGCCAAACGAATAAAGGTAAAATTATTTCAATGAAAATAAATTTTTCAATGAAAATCCACCAAAGGAGTTCCTTCTGAGTATTTTATCCCCTGGAGGAGTATTGTCTATATAGGTCCCCCATATAACGGTACTTCCTTTTCAATGGAATCGTCTTAAAATCCACACTAGAAGTTCTTTCTATGCACTTTACCCCCTGGAAGAGAAATGTCTATATAGGTCCACGATATCGTATAGTCCACATACAACGGTACCCCCGATATTCGTATTTTGACGATTTTAGAGACGTTATTCACCGGAGTTGTTTGAAATTTCGTATTAAGAGTTCGTAATAGGTACTACATTCTATGACAAGCAATTGCATATGCAGGCCCACCCTTCGCATAGCCGATACCTCAAAATATTCGGTATTTTCGTGATTTTGGCGACTTCGCTCCACGCCAGAAGATTGTCTATGCAGGTCCAGGTCTTCGTATAGGCCCCATATATCAGTACCTCCCTATATTCACCGAAATTGTTTGAAGTTTCGTATTTGTAGTTCGTAATAGGTACTACAGCCTGTGACAGAAAATTGTTTATGCAGGTCCAATTCTTTGTATATTCGGTATTGATGATTTTAGCTGCATTATTCACCGGATTTTTTTCAAGTTTCGTATTTGCCTGTGCAGGTCCAGGTCTTCGTATAGACCCTAATATAACTGCTATATTCGGTATTTTTAAGATTTTAACAGAATTTTTTACGGATTTTATTTTTATTTTTTTACAGAATATAAGAGTCAGTCTTGAAATGAAATATAGGACCACT